TTAATAATCGTGTCCATGTTGGGCTTAAAGGAGCCATACCGCTTTGCACGCAGCCATTTGATGAACGCTTTTGCTTGCACCTTGGGGTGGTCGCTTAAACCAGGTTTTACTGTCTGTGATGTGTGCTTATCCTGCTAGCTAATGCAGATAACTAGTTTTACTGGTTTTTGCATACAGTATATTATCACGTTGTTCTCGGTGTGACTGTAAATTTGGTAGAGGAACCTGGCACCTAAATTTAAATGCCACATTTAAAAAAGGCAACAGATCATACTGTATGTGAAGGCAATGCGTGTTACGTAATTCTATATAACAACTGAACTCTGGCGGATCCCTGACACCGAAATTCTAATGCACCTAAAATTACATGCCAAAAATAATGGAGTTTATCTTCTCGACAAGGAGTGTAACTTCTCATGTACCGGCATAGCCTAAGCTAAAATTTAAGATTTGCGTATGAACCCTACGCCAATCTAGAAGCAATTTATTGTCATGTTTTTACTCTGTTGTTGCTTATATGCAGGTGTTGTGGAGTGCAAAGGGTATCGACTGCAATTGCACAGAGAAGAAAACAAATTTGAAGTTTCCACCAGCACCTGCGCCCAGAGCGGTATGCGACTTTTCAGACGCAAGGATCGCAAAGCACTGAAGAAATCCCAGTGTTTCAAGGTAAAGATTAAGTTTGTTTAAATTGTATCATAATCGCTTAGTCCACTCCATAAAGACACCTTGCTCCATTTACAACACTAGTTAATCTTACGTAACTTTGCTCTGTGTAGAATTCGAGCGCGATGTGCAGATTGTAGGTACCTAGTCTGAATGTGTATATGCAACAGACTTGTCCTGCTCAGTATTGTTCATGTTTCATCGGAGTATTGTAACCCTGGGGATAGGCCATGGCAGAAAAGTTGATGACGTAAGCAGCAAAGAGCCGTATTTTGAGTGTTTGGGTTGAGGTGTCCTAGTACATAATGTGTAAATGGCTGCAATGGAGGCTGCGACTGCTTAGAATTTGTTTCATTTGTTGTCCATGATTTTTGTAGAATCAGCGCGTTCTATGGAAACCAGATCAAACGCTCGAAACGTGGCCTCTTTGTTGCATACGCCATTCGAACAGTTCATCACACCTGAAAATGGAGGTGCGACTTACAATTGAGTGCTACTGGCAATCCAGTGCTATTTGCAATCTAGTGCGACTTGCAATCGAGCGCGACTTGCAATCGAACGCGACTTGCAATCAAGTGTGACTTATAATCGAGCGCCACTTCCAACCGAGTACGTCCGGTACAAATCCTCTCCTCGTGTATTGTCTTATTTTTTCTATTAACTGGTTTGAGGGAAAGAGACAAACGGGAAAAGTCTGAAGAAAGAATTTAATGACGATTTTTTCTGTTTCTGAATCTGCTCTTCATTTTGCCAATAAGAAATTACTGGGATCTAACCAGGGGCTTCTTGTCTGGATGCGAGTAAAGAACTCCAAGACAGCTACAATGGATCTCTCAACCGGAGAGGACGGGCCAGAGCAATCCAAAGCTGCCTCCCTATGTGGTGAGAAGCATGCAGTACATGTATACTAATCGGAGTCCAGTTATTGTCAATGAAGCTCTTGCACACTACCACATGGCCACAGACTCGAGCCAAGTCAGTTCTTTTACCTTCTGTGCTTTAACCCTTCGGGAGCCGACTGTAATAATCAGAATTCTTCATATTTTCATGTTCGTCGGGTTTAAAACGGTGCTGGAGATGTGATTCTGCATTTTCTATAATAATTATTCTCCTAGTTCTGCCAGCTGTTCTTTTGGTTGTGTATATCTACAGTGTAAGATTCAGTGCATTTTTGTTCTGTTTAGTTCTCAAAGCTGCGCAAGCCTCAACAGTGCAATCCATACAATCCAAGGCATGTGATGGGGGGACCTGTGACGGGTGGGGGACCTGTGATGGGAAACTGAATGATGTACCTTATTACACTGGACTCAGTTGAAACAGAAGGGCCTGGTGGATCGTACCACACTTCTCCTAACACCTCAAGCTGGGAAAACCCGCCGCACTCTTGGTGAAATAAACCCCTTGCGCAGCAACCCAAATTGCCGGGGGAACTATCTGCCAGTGCCTATTCTTGCTGGGTTGCATGCAGATAAAAAGATGGGCGACCGCCATGCTCCTGGTTTGCTTGTTGTGCAAGAGCTTTGTGTTCCGCTGGTTTCTGTTCTCGCACTGCAGCTAAGGCACCAAGCGCCAAAAGTGGAGATTTGCCACAACCGTCCCTTGAAGTGGAAGAAGGTATGTAATTGGTGAAAATACAGGCGAAGAAAGGTGTCAGTGCTTCGTTGCAGGGGTAGCTCACCCCTACTGTGATAAGATTTCTCCAGCACCAAACAAAGGCTCTTCACTGAGAATCATTTTGCGTTCTACCCAATTTTCGGGCATGACCTGGCCCAGCATTGGGGGTAAAGGGGGAGCCGGAGAAGCAGAATCCCCTCCAGAAAGACGTCTTGCTCCATTTTCCACACTAGTCTGTCTTACGTAACTTTTCTCAGTGTAGAATTCGAGCGCGAAGTGCAGACTGCACATACCTAGTCTAAATGTATATGCAACACACTTCCAGTCTTGCTGAAATCCCTTTTGTGTCGCAACCCAAGCTGCCTGGGGAACTATCTACCAATTGCCTATTCCCGGGCTGCGCGGAGATAAAATGGATGACGATATACCCCGCTCTTGTTTGTATGCGGTGCTGAAAGCACATTGTGTTTCACTGGTCCTTTTCTCTTGCCACAGATGCGGCACCAAGCTCCGATAGAGAAGCGCCCACAGCAGAAGAAGAAGGTATGTCACTCCGCACCCCCCCCCTTTTTTTCGATGCCAGGTTGCAACGCTAACGCCGAGACCCCTGGTCGGTCGAGTTGCTCCCTGTACATCGGCACGTCGTCCCTACATCCCCTGTGTCTTGTCTTGTGTTTGTCTCCACATGTCTCTTTGTAGGGCTGTGTTCCCAATAAAAAAAAAAAAAAAAAAAAAAAAAACTCGTGAAGCACAGGTGAAGGGAGGTGTCTGTGCTTGACTATCGTTGTAGGGGGAACTCAGTTATCACAAGCTCTAATATGACACTGGGGCATTGCACACGGTACGGTCACTACGGTATTGACTGTACCACTGTTTGCACCAAGTACCAAGTGAATCAATAGAAAATGCACTGATTTGGGCTCTGAATTTCCAAAATTCTCGGCTAAGCCACACTTCCCTCACGAGTAAATTGTATAGTTCAGATGACTGACCGTACCACGCTAAAATACCTTCCGATACCCCTGTGACATGCTTATTCAACTTCAACACACAGCCTCACACACAGGCTACAGTCTCTTCACTACTTCACTTTACATTTCACCAAGTTTTCGGGCCTGGCCACGGCGGTAAACACTCCACTCCATTTTTTTTTACCTCATTTTCAACATTTGATTTTCTTTCGTAAATTTGCTCTTAGCAGACTTCTAGCACGAAGTGCAGGATGCAGATACCCAGTCTAAATATATATGCGCTGTGTGCTTATTTTATAATAGCAATAAAGAGAACAAATTCTGCAGTCATCGCCACACTACAACGAAGTCATGAAAGTTTACCAGAATTAATTTTCTTGTCACATTCATCAGTGGAAAGTCGTGACTGAAGAGTAACCATGCTGAACAATGATTAAATATACATTCAATGATGTGTTACGAGAACAAAATACAGTGCCAAAATAGAACGAGGGAAGGTGAGACAATAGAAGCGAAGTGAGAGCTAAGTGCAACGGCGGGTGAGAAACTAATTATAACGCTAAAACTGTGTAGTGAGACAAACAATCATGCTTTGCACCTACGAAAACAATTTTAACGCAACTACATGTTTCTTCTGCTTACAAAGATCAGGCTTATGCAAACGAATACAAACAGCCTCAAGTACTTTCAACTGACTAGCATACCGTGCACGACAAAGAACAGAAAAACTAAAATCATCATACACCTGCAGACACTTAGGGTGAGACAACAAGTGAAGAAAAACGGCAGACTTCTTACGATCACAATCACCATCTGAATCCTCGTCTCCAACAACCGCAACCTCGTCCTCCGTCTCATCTCCCAACTCGTCCTCAGTGTCGTCCTCCGTGTCATTCTCCTCATCAACACCGATCGGTCCCAGGCTCCTTTCATGTTGTTTAACCTCTGTTCGTTGACTCCTCCTTTGATCTTGATGGTAAATTGTTACCATTGTTGTTGTGGTTGTTGTTGTTGTTGTTGTTGTTGTTGTTGTTGTTGTTGTTGTTGTTGTTGTTGTTGTTGTTGTTGTTGTTGTTGTTGTTGTTGTTGTTGTTGTTGTTGTTGTTGTTGTTGTTGTTGTTGTTGTTGTTGTTGTTGTTGTTGTTGTTGTTGTTGTTGTTGTTGTTGTTGTTGTTGTTGTTGTTGTTGTTGTTGTTGTTAAATCTTGTGTTCCCAGTGTCCTCGCCGGTGCTTGACCTCCAGTACTGTAATAATTCATTGAATAATTAGCCGTTGATCGTCTAGGTCTTTGAATGTTGATTGTGTTACTTTCTTTGTTGAATTCCGTTCCCTTCAGCCTTCTTTATCGTTGTTCACGTTCAGTGCTTGCCTCATCCATATATGCACGTGCCACCGACACCACAGACTCAGCCCCAGCACTGCCGATGATAGATGTAGGTGGCGGTTCTGGGGGAGGCAACGGCAAAGACGGCGATGAGGGCATTACTTCATCACAGCGTCCACTTTGGTCTTGAGCTGAATGTTGTTGTGGTGTGTTATCTTGTGTTGTTATGGTGCATTGTGTTGTGATGACATTATGCCCATTACCCGACTCCAAGGCTCTCGATACGGGTAATGGAGGCACTATTGCCGATGACGGAAATTGTGCTAACGATGGCTGTGGCCGAGGGTTCTTCAGTGGCCTGCCGCGTTTGGGTCGCAGTGCCCGTGCCGAGCCAGTCAGCATATGTAGTGGGACGTGCTGCTTGATACGTGCGTTCAGATGTTGAAGAGTCCTACCAACGTACCGACTACCGCATTGTCGGCACTCAAATTGGTATACCAATTTAGATGCAAGTTGGGTTGGTAGGACATCCTTCCTCACCGTGAACGCACGTACAGTTGTGAAAACGGGTACAAAATGTACCGCGTTGTAAGTTTGCTGCACAATTTTCCGTACCACGCGACTCATGGATAATGAGAGGTTACCTTTCCAAGGGAGAGAAAGAAACGTGGGACATTTGTCCGGGCCAAAACGTTTTTCCTTTTTATGCAGCCTTTCGGTCATGAGTTCCTTCAATAGATCGCCGGGGTACCCGTTCCTTAGAAAAACGGACTTAAGGAAGTCCAGTTCCTCAGCTAGTTTGGAAGAGGAGCAAATACGCTCTGCTCGATCCACCAAGTTACGAACCAAATTCACCTTGTATTGGTACGAACAATACGAGTCAAACATTATGTACTGGCCGATGAATGTAGGCTTTCTGTATACAGATGTTACGGTACCCTGACTAGACTTTTCCACAAGGACGTCTAGAAAGGGAAGTTTGTTCGCTTGTTCGTGTTCACACGTAAAACGTATGGAAGGATGTAGGTCATTTAGAATACCAAGAAAGATTTGGCTATCTTCAAGAGAATCAAACCAGGTGAAGGAATCATCAACAAAACGAACGTACAATGCTGGCCACAACTGTTCTGCAATCAGTGACTCGCAGTAACCAACGAACACATTCGCTAAAACTGGACCCAATGGAGAGCCCATGGCTACCCCATCAACCTGCCTGTACATGTCACCGAAGGAAAATTCCACACCAGTCGTCACGAGCAACATCAGTTCCCGGAACGCCGTCTCCGATATCCATGGCGTGTCAACTTCATCATTTCGGTACAACACATCTAGGCAAATATTGATAGTCACTTGTAATGGGACGTTCGTGAACAGACTCACAACATCAAACGAGCACATATGCGCGGAGGCCAGAACCAGGTGGGAGCGAAGGACGTCAATGAATTCGAAGGTGTCTTTAATTGTATGTTTGCAATAGAACGTTTGCACGACGTCAAGCCAACCACACAGCCATTTAGAGATATTATATTGCGGTGATGCAACCATGGATAAAATGGGGCGCAACGGACAGTTCGGTTTATGTATTTTTGGTAGCCCATAGAGACGTGGCCGGACGGAACCAATGGGCCGCATTTTGAAGAACTCTTCCTCCGATATCTGTTTACTTTCTTTAAGTCTCTTGAGAAAACTATTCAACTTTTTCTTTACTCGAACTGTGTTGTCATGAGTAGATACCGGACCGAGTTGGACAAACTTACTCGTGTCCTCAAGGATGACCGCCATTTTCGTTTGTACTCTTGTGTGCTGATAATAACTGTAGCTCGACCCTTGTCTGGTCTTGTGATTCTAATATCGTTGTTTTTCGTAAGATGACGTCGAGCCTTAAGGTGTTCTCTGGATAATGAAAATGTGCTTCGGTCTGGAGGTTTTTCTGCGTGTTCTTCGGCGATGGCTCGAAGATTAGCCGTACAGATAGTACGCTGATTTTCAGACACTGGTGTAAAATTCTTCATGAGTTTTTTGTGGAACATTTCGAATTGCGTAAGAACTATTTCCTTTCTGTTGTTAGAAGGAAGAATACCAAACTCCGTTCCCCGGCACAGTAATTCCTTTTGCACAGGGTATAGTTCGATGTTGGCCAGATTAATAATCGTGTCCATGTTGGGCTTAAAGGAGCCATACCGCTTTGCACGCAGCCATTTGATGAACGCTTTTGCTTGCACCTTGGGGTGGTCGCTTAAACCAGGTTTTACTGTCTGTGATGTGTGCTTATCCTGCTAGCTAATGCAGATAACTAGTTTTACTGGTTTTTGCATACAGTATATTATCACGTTGTTCTCGGTGTGACTGTAAATTTGGTAGAGGAACCTGGCACCTAAATTTAAATGCCACATTTAAAAAAGGCAACAGATCATACTGTATGTGAAGGCAATGCGTGTTACGTAATTCTATATAACAACTGAACTCTGGCGGATCCCTGACACCGAAATTCTAATGCACCTAAAATTACATGCCAAAAATAATGGAGTTTATCTTCTCGACAAGGAGTGTAACTTCTCATGTACCGGCATAGCCTAAGCTAAAATTTAAGATTTGCGTATGAACCCTACGCCAATCTAGAAGCAATTTATTGTCATGTTTTTACTCTGTTGTTGCTTATATGCAGGTGTTGTGGAGTGCAAAGGGTATCGACTGCAATTGCACAGAGAAGAAAACAAATTTGAAGTTTCCACCAGCACCTGCGCCCAGAGCGGTATGCGACTTTTCAGGCGCAAGGATCGCAAAGCACTGAAGAAATCCCAGTGTTTCAAGGTAAAGATTAAGTTTGTTTAAATTGTATCATAATCGCTAAGTCCACTCAATAAAGACACCTTGCTCCATTTACAACACTAGTTAATCTTACGTAACTTTGCTCTGTGTAGAATTCGAGCGCGTAGTGCAGATTGTAGGTACCTAGTCTGAATGTGTATATGCAACAGACTTGTCCTGCTCAGTATTGTTCATGTTTCATCGGAGTATTGTAACCCTGGGGATAGGCCATGGCAGAAAAGTTGATGACGTAAGCAGCAAAGAGCCGTATTTTGAGTGTTTGGGTTGAGGTGTCCTAGTACATAATGTGTAAATGGCTGCAATGGAGGCTGCAACTGCTTAGAATTTGTTTCATTTGTTGTCCATGATTTTTGTAGAATCAGCGCGTTCTATGGAAACCAGATCAAACGCTCGAAACGTGGCCTCTTTGTTGCATACGCCATTCGAACAGTTCATCACACCTGAAAATGGAGGTGCGACTTACAATCGAGTGCTACTGGCAATCCAGTGCTATTTGCAATCTAGTGCGACTTGCAATCGAGCGCGACTTGCAATCGAACGCGACTTGCAATCAAGTGTGACTTATAATTGAGCGCCACTTCCAACCGAGTACGTCCGGTACAAATCCTCTCCTCGTGTATTGTCTTATTTTTTCTATTAACTGGTTTGAGGGAAAGAGACAAACGGGAAAAGTCTGAAGAAAAAATTCAATGACGATTTTTTCTGTTTCTGAATCTGCTCTTCATTTTGCCAATCAGAAATTACTGGGATCTAACCAGGGGCTTCTTGTCTGGATGCGAGTAAAGAACTCCAAGACAGCTACAATGGATCTCTCAACCGGAGAGGATGGGCCAGAGCAATCCACGGCTGCCTCCCTATGTGGTGAGAAGCATGCAATATATGTGTACTACTCGGAGTCCAGTTCTTGTCAATGAAGCTATTTCACTCTACCACACGGCCATAGACTCGAGCCAAGTCAGTTCTTTTACCTTCTGTGCTTTAACCCTTCAGGAGCCGACTGTAATAATCAGAATTCTTCATATTTTCATGTTCTTTGGGTTTAAAACGGTGCTGGAATTGTGATTCTGCATTTCCTATAAATATTCTCCTAGTTCTGCCAACTGTTCTTTTGGTTGTGTATATCTACAGTGTAAGATTCAGTGCATTTTTGTTCTGTTTAGTTCTCAAAGCTGCGCCAGCCTCAATGGTGCAATCCATACAATCCAAAGCATATTTTAATCGTGTAGTACTTTTCCTGATGACAAGAATGGCTTATTGCTTAGATGGGGACCTGTGATGGGGACCTGTGATGGGGGGGGGGGGTGGGAGGGACCTGTGATGGGGGAGGACCTGTGATGGGGGAGGAAGGACCTGTGACGGGCGAGGGGGGGACCTGTGACGGGAAACCGAATGATGTACCTTTTAACACCGGCCTCAGTTGAAAAAGAAGGGCCTGGTGGATCGTACCACACTTCTCCTAACACCTCAAGCTGGGAAAACCCGCCGCACTCTTGGTGAAATAAACCCCTTGCGCAGCAACCCAAATTGCCGGGGGAACTATCTGCCAGTGCCTATTCTTGCTGGGTTGCATGCAGATAAAAAGATGGGCGACCGCCATGCTCCGGTATTGACTGTACCACTGTTTGCACCAAGTACCTCGTAAATCAATAAAAAATGCACTCTCTGAATTTCCAAAATTCTCGGCTCAGCCACACTTCCCTCACGAGTATATTGTACAGTTCAGATGACTGACCGTACCACGCTAAAATACCTTCCGACACCCCTGTGACATACTCATTCAATTTCACCACACAGCCTCACACAGGCCACAGTCTCTTCGCTACTTCACTTTACATTTCACCAAGTTTTCGGGCCTGGCCACAGCGGTAAAAACCCCACTCCAGAAAGTCGTCTTGCGTCATTTTCAACAACTTGCTTTTCTTTCGTAAATTTGCTCTTGGTAGACTTCTAGCACGAAGTGCAGGATGCGGATACCTAGTCTAAATATATATGCGCTGTGTGCTTATTTCTTCTCATTTTTCAAGTATCTAAATCCCAAAGCACAAGCGCAAAGGGCCTGCCTCATTTTAGTTCAGGTAAGCTGATAAGGAAGGTCCAATCGATAGCAGTAAATCTGTGTCGCTTGATGTCGGTTTTTTAGATTTAATTGATGATGTGGCTTCATTTGTGCTTCGCATCCGAAGCAGCAACAGATGCGTCAACGGTGAATTCGTTAGCTGACCTTTGTTGTTTCGCACATCAGTCGGTGGTTTATGTTTTAGATTAGGAACTTGTGTCGATTTTTCCAGAAGTTGAAAGAGGAGCCATGGATCACGAAGTGCAGATTGCAGATACCGGTTCTAAATATACACTGTAAAACCTAGTGTAAGCGAACTCTGTGTTTAGCGACCACCTGCTCTTAGCGACCGTTTTCCATGCACCGACAGTTCTACACAGACACTGTGAGACCTGGTTCCAAAGGCCACCTGGCTTTAACGACCGATTTTGATTGCACTGTAGGGTGGTCGCTTAAAGGGGCACTCCGGGAATTTTTTTCGGTAATGTGTTCTCTTCATGGGGGCCTTATAATATTATGGCCTCCAAGGAATGCAGATTGCGAAAACTAGAATCAAAAAGTCGATATATGAAGCCAGGGAGGGCCAAGTTTGTCTCCTCCGCCGAGGGTTTTGATGACGTCACCTGTGATTAATAATCAAATTCCCTGCATTCGATGGTGTTAGTTGTTTGAATTTCCTGATGATGAAGAACGATGTTTGGGAGACATTCCCAAGCTTCACAACTGCGGCCATACTCCAAGGAACCAGAAGGGCCTCCTCAGGTGCCACCGGTAGAAGCGCAGCGTGATGAGGGCCAGGAGATTGGAGCAGCCGACTTCACTGGTCGACAAGGAAGAAACGATTGGTGTCCCTGCCAGAAATGTGAAGTGATGCAGAGGGCAGTCGATTGCCTTTCCTGTCGAGAGAGCGATGGAGCTGTTAGCAATGACAGCGCTTTGACATGCGTTACGCATCACCCCGACTTCCCGTCAGCTTGTCTAAACACTTACCAGCTCCTCGTCCGATCCCTCCTCCTGCTCGCGTTTTTGCTTGAGGTAAAGTGATTCCTTTAGAGGTGTTGTTTTCGGTGTGGAACTAGACTTTGCAGACACGCCTGAACTCGAAAATAACGTGGGCACTGCACCCTCCGTGCGACGAGCTTACAAGGTCGCTTTTGCCAGATGGGCTGCTCATCGCTTCGCTAGCCATACATTCGCTCATCAGATCGCGTTGAAAGCAGGCCGGTTCAAAGTAGGCTGAACACAAACGATCCCACTTTATTGGCTCAAAGAGCTTGGGTGTTTCCCACCGGCGACTCGAGCTGCTCTGCCCATGTTCTTGACCCGCGAAAGACGCAACTCAGCGTCGTGGGGAAACACAAACAATGTCAAATTTGTGCACGCCTCATCCTTCGAATCGTTTGAACAGCCGGGAGCATAGCACCTTCGCATGACAGACAGGAAATCTGAAGCTGGCACATAGACGACATGAAAGAAAAAACTTGACAACTACCCTCCAACTCTTCACCTCGACAGTTTCAGCAGTGTTCCCATTCGAGCTCCGGGAGCGCATTGAGCTCCATCAAAACCCTCCGTGGTGGAGACAAACTTGGCCCTCCCTGGCTTCATAGTATCGACTTTTTGGGTCTAGTTTTCGCGATTTCCCATTCCTTGGGGCCATACGAAGCCCCATGAAGAAAACACACCACCGAAAAATCGGACACCCGTCACCGCCAAGGCTGGCCACGTGGTGCGAATTTTTCTCTTTGTCAATTTTTTCCAGAGAATGCAAAATATCGCCCAAAATACCATGAAAAATCGCTCCGTTGCCATGGTAACTGATACGGCACCCCCGAAGTTGTCATGAATTATTATTCATGACAACTGGGTTCATGACAGTGTCATGTACCCAGGCATACATGTATTACCAAGAGTACAAGTACTCTTGGTAATACTCAACTCTCAAGTTTGCACTTCCACAGCCGGCCAAGCGCTAGCCCTTTTTCCTCATGTACATGCCTAGTGTACATGTACATGACTACAGTACATGTACTACTAGTAGAGTGATTTGTACCTTCAGTTGCGCTGAAAAGTGAAAATAGAGGACTTCTGCATAGGAAAGTACTGATCCCTGATAATTTTGGGTGCTTTTCGGACGTTTCCTTTTTCGGACCGGTTTTCGGAAGAGGCTTCAAAAATCGGACACTGTCCGAAAAATTGGACGGTTTGGCAGCACTGTGTATGTGATGGGTGCATATCCTGCTAGCTAATGCAGATAACTAGTTTTACTGGTTTTTGCATATAGTATATCACGTTGTTCTCGGTGTGACTGTAATTTCGGTAGAGAGACCTGGAGCCTAAATTTAAATGCCACCTTTAAAAAAGGCAACAGATCATACTGTATGTGAAGGCAATACGTGTCACGCAATTCTATATTACAACTGAATTCTGGCTGATTCCTGACACCGAAATTCGAATACACCTAAAATTACATTCCAAACGTAATGGAGTTTATCTTCTCGACAAGGAGTGAAACTTCACATGTACCGGCATATCCTACGCTCAAATTTAGGATTTGCGTATGAATCCTACGCCAATCTAGAATCAATTTATTGTGATGTTTTTATTCTGTTGTTGCTCATGTGCAGGTGTTGTGGAGTGCAAAGGATATCGACTGCAATTGCACAGGGAAGAAAACAAATTTGACGTTTCCGCCAGCACCTGCGCCCAGAGCGGTATGCGACTTTTCAGGCGCAAGGATCGCAAAGCACTGAAGAAACTCGAGTGTTTCAAGGTAAAGATTAAGTTTGTTTAAATTGTATCATAATCGCTCAGTCTACTCCATAAAGACAACTTGCTCCATTTACAACAGTTGTTTATCTTACGTAAATTTGCCCTGTGTAGAATTTGAGCGCGAAATGTAGATTGTAGGTACCTAGTCTAAATGTGTATGCGACACACTTGTCCTGCTAAGTATCGCTCATGTCATGTTTCATGGGAGTATTTTCACCCTGGGGATAGGCCATGGCGGAAAAGTTGATGACGTAAGCAGCAAAGAACCGTATTTTGAGTGTTTGGGTTGAGGTGTCCCAGTAAATAATGTGTGAATGGCTGCACTGGAGGCTGTGACTGCTTAGAATTTGTTTCATTTGTTGTCCGATTTTTTGAAGAATCAGCGCGTTCTATGGAAACCAACTCGAACGCTCGAAACGTGGCCTCTTTGTTGCATACGCCATTCGAACTGTTCATCACACCTGAAAATGGAGGTGCAACTTACAATCCAGTGCTACTGGCAATCGAGTGCTACTGACAATAGAGTGCTACTGACAATCGACTGCGACTTGTAATTGAGTGCGACTTGCAATCGAGTACTACTGACAATGGAGTACTACTTGCAATCGAATGCGACTTGCAATCAAGTGTGACTTATAATCGAGCGCCACTTCCAACCGAGTACGTCCGGTACAAATCCTCTCCTCCTGTTTTGTCTTAATTTTTCTTCTTCTGAATCTGCTCTTCATTTTGCCAATCAGAAATTACTGGCATCCAACCAGGGGCTTCTTGTCTGGTTGCGAGTAAAGAACTCCAAGACAGCTACAATGGATCTCTCAACCGGAGAGGACGGGCCAGAGCAATCCACGGCTGCCTCCCTATGTGGTGAGAAGCATGCAATATAATGTGTACTACTCGGAGTCCACTTCTTGTCAATGAAGCTATTTCACTCTACCACACGGCCACAGACTCGAGCCAAGTCAGCTCTTTTAGCTTCTGTGCTTTCACCCTTCAGGAGCCGGCTGCAATTTTCAAAATTCTTCATATTATCATGTTCTTTGGGTTTAAACATGTGCTGGAATTGTGATTCTGCATTTCCCATATTTTCCTAGTTCTGTCAACTGTTCTTTTTGTTGTGTATATCTACAGTGTATGATTCTGTGCATTTTTGTTCTGTTTGCGCTGCATAGTTCTGAAGCCGACGAGGAAAGCCGGAGAGGCAAAAGACACGCACGACCAAAGGAAGGGTTTCGTCCACTCTCAGTGAGTACTAAACTATTTCACGGTTCGCTGGAGACTCGGTTTAATTAATAGAATCCGTTTTCTGCATCCCTAGGAACGCCATCACCCTGCACAGATCTAAGGTGCAGATGTAGATCCAGACTATCTAGGTGCAGTCGGAATTTAGTTTTCTTTTTACCCTAATGGTGAAACGAGCAGGGTTTCCCTCCCCCTTCACCTAACGTTATGTAATGCAATTCAGATAGTATATTATAAAGAAGCCTGCCTTGGTAGTTTTGCAAACATGTTTTTCGATTTTGACAGCATGTTACAAGGTGAGGGCGCATAGTGCTCCTGACTACAACCATAACCCGGTTGGTAGAGTATTCAGATAATACAATTTATTATCTTTCCAGCAAAACCTCCCTACAGTCAGCCTTGCGAATAATGTGCCTCGATTGTTCATGGGGAAAGTGTCCTATTCTCGAGTTTGCTTTATTCAGAATGTTGAAAAGAGCAGTGAGATTATCTGAAGATTGCGGTACTGTCCGAAGTATACGCTGCACTGGAGTGAAAGGCACATTCAAATTTGTTGGTCAAGAAATCAAGACACCTATCCTGCCTATCACCATTTATTTGATTATCACAGTATAGACCGCACTGACGTGTTTGAGGGTTAATTGCTGGCTCATTCCAATAAATATGGTATGTGTGTGTGTGTGTGTGTGTGTGTCTGTTTGTGAATGGATGTGTACGTGTGTCTATTTAAACACGCAGATAATAGAAAGGACAAGCAACCTCATTAGCTGATAGCAGTTATCAAACACTCTCTTCACACCAGGGGCGTGGTATACATCGTGTCTGCGTGTGTGTGTGTGTGTGTGTGTGTGTGTGTGTGTGTGTGTGTGTATGTGCAACATCGTCACTCGTCAGTCACCTAAAATGTCCAGAGACTTGCCTACTCTTTGTCCTGCAACTGTCCAGAAGAGAGGACGGCTACTCAGGAATTATTGTAGTTTCTCGCTGGACAATGGGGATCTAGCGCGGTTTGTGCCTCCTAGAACATTCAGGACTGGATTTGGCGAGACAGCCATATCGCTATTCAAAACACACCCAATTGGAAAGAACGTTAACATCGTACTTCTGTAATCTTGTAGACGACTTTGAGATGCTAACGCGCGTGTGCACGAGCGTGTGCATATGTACATATGTGTGTGTGTGTGTGTGTGTGTGTGTGTGTGTGTGTGTGTGTGTGTGTGTGTGTGTGTGTGTGTGTGTGTGTGTGTGTGTGTGTGTGTGTGTGTGTGTGTGTGTGTGTGTGTGTGTGTGTGTGTGTGTGTGTGTGTGTGTGTGTGTGTGTGTGTGTGTTCGCATGCTTTAAAGTAGATGTTTAGATATGTATCAGAATATGTGTGCACGTGTACTATTTTTTGCTGTTTCTTGTACATCCCAAGAGTGTGTAAGTCCACTATGGGTGCTACACTGACCTGATTCATTGCAAGTTAGCATCACTTTGGTGTTGCAGTGTGCATTGTCTGAAGGTATGATTGTATTTTCAGACTAAAGTAAGTGGATCTACATGATTGTACTGGCTTTGAGGTGACATGTGTACGTGGTTGTGTGAATATCAAGCGTGGTGGGGTGTGGTACGGTGAGATGGGTGGGTGTGTGGGGATTGGGGGGGGGGGGGAGGGGGGGGAGAGGGGGGGGGGGGGTGGGGGCAGGGTTAACTGGCGAGGTACCTACACCACCATATCTAGGGACATGTCCCGGCCCAAGACAGAAAAGGCTGGCGCACCCTGAAGGCAACTTGCTAGAACCAAACTGTTCAAACCACTCCAGACCGAATATTCAGAAATGACGAGACAACTCACCAGCTATTATCAATGAACTAATCATTTTCACCTTTCTGTAGTGCATCCAATCGATACTGGCTCTTCTGCTCTACAGCATCGTTCCTCAAGATTCTGAGCTTTCTGTTTGTCTTTCTCTTTATCATCATCCTGAATGGCACAAGTGAAGTAGGCATCCGCGCTTACATCGCGATAGTGCTTATAATATTATATTATGCTAGTGCGTATAATATAATATTATAAGCACTATCGCGATGTAAGCGGGGATGCCTACTTCACTTGTGCCATTCAGGATGATGATAAAGAGAAAGACAAACAGAAAGCTCAGAATCTTGAGGAACAATGGACATATATTATAATTTGAAACTCGGGTATTGAGCCAATAATAAAAGTAGAAAGGAAAAGGACATAATGGAAACGAGTTAAGAGTAACTCTCCACCACTGTAACTAGATACTATATACAGTCAGAAAGTGCAACAACTTGGCACAAAACTGACAGAGTACTGAGACATTCGACGTCCTGACACCTAGCTTCAACACATCTCCGTAGCGCTAACCGACAGCCTTCCAACTTGGAAGGTTCAAGGTTATGGCAAGACCAAAGAGGGGAAGGCAAGCGCAACGAAAACGAGCACAAGCTTCAGTCCCAACGGAACAAAGAATGTCGATTGTCACTGGACGATGACGAGACCAGTAGGCGATTTGACAAAGCGGTCTAACTGTATGTAGAAATTTATTTAACGTCGCACCACAAACAGGCGATTTCGCCTCCTTTGATACATGTGGACGACAGAAGGAATGAGAGAGAGAGAGGGGGGGACAGAAGTATGGGGAGAGGAAGGGTAGAAATAAATAAGCAATCAACCTCAGGGCTACACCAAAGCAAAAACGGAATCGGAACATACTATATACAAAATAGCTTCATACATATATTGCAAAACACGTTTACTATTCTTCAGTCCGCTATACCACAGAAACACACTAGCCGAAAAGCATTTAAACGGAGCCATGATGCGCTTTTAGCAGGGCACAGAACTGAAGGTGGCTGGGCTCGGAACGGAGATCAGGCGGGAGCTGGTTCCACAGGACTGCGCCGATGAACTGCATGGTCGCTCGACCCGCAGGACCGGGCCAAAATGGTACTCGAACGAGGTGTTGTGCTGCTCCCCGAGTGCGGTCACCAGTAACTCTCACGAAGAAGCTGGTGAAGAGGGAGCTAGCTCGGGAGAACAGACAACGACGGACAAAGATGAGGAGCTTAATGTTAAACATGTCCTCCAGGGTGGTGAGGCGAAGCTGTTCAAAGATCGGGCTCGTGCGCGACCACGGTGGCAGACCGAAGAAGCCGCGGATAGCGCACTTCGTTAGACGTGTGACGTGTGAGGGGCTAACTACAATTCGAAGCAGCAAAGCAGCACACCACCCAACTTGGGTGGGTCAAAAATATCAAAGATAAGTTAAGAAGGGGGAAGCTTTGCGAGAACGAATTGTACAAGCCTTCTTAACTTATCTTTGATATTTTTGACCCACCCAAGTTGGGTGGTGTGCTGCTTTGCTGCTTCGAATTGTAGTTAGACCGCTTTGTCAAATCGCCTACTGGTCTCGTCATCGTCCAGTGACAATCGACATTCTTTGTTCCGTTGGGACTGTAGCTTGTGCTCGTTTTCGTTGCGCTTGCCTTCCCCTCTTTGGTCTTTCCATAACCTTGAACCTTCCAAGTTGGAAGGCTGTCGGTTAGCGCTACGGAGATGTGTTGAAGCTAGGTGTCAGGACGTCGAATGTCTCAGTACTCTGTCAGTTTTGTGCCAAGTTGTTGCACTTTCTGACTGTATATAGTATCTAGTTACAGTGGTGGAGAGTTACTCTTAACTCGTTTCCATATGTCCTTTTCCTTTCTACATAATTATATTATAATTAAATTATATAATATAATTATAATATATGTCCCGAGGTTGCTGGGTGGGTACGACAGCCCCAGCGCTAGAAGGTGGGCTTTCTGTTGCATCGTCTCTCTTGCATGCAACTACTTGAGAAAACCGTGTACTTACCCCCGCATGCACCATTGTTCACAGGCGAATTATCAAACACGTCCTGTGCCGCATGCTGATCAGGTAGTGCCATATATGTGGCACATAATATGCCTTATACCATGGTACGGTACGGAGGGCCTGTTTTCAGCCAATTAGCGCTCGTCTAGCCATGGTTATATTGGCCAGTATAAATCCCGCGCGGGATTTATATAGAATATAAATCCCGGTGCACGGTACATACGCTAGGGCACTGCCACCGTACAAGTTCACTGCCTGAAAGTCAGTGAACTTGTACGGCGGCAGTACTCCAGCGCACGGACCATACATAAACAGACACAACGGACACCACATGCGCGTGTACACTCCACACAGAACGGCACACTGACGAGGAACAGTACACAATGGAAAAGAAGAATGACCTGGAATTCGTCTACAGAGTATTCTGTTATACTGAATCTGAGGATAAAGAACGTCGAATAACCACGAAGTATCCCGAATGGGTCAGCAATGTACATTGTACTTCGAAGAGTTGAAGATCATCAACGGACTGTCTCCTTCGTAAATAAGTTTATGATACCAGTGTACATGTACTTCAACCCGATTGGAAAAGGCTACAATAGATTGGATTGAAATGTGATACAAAACAGTGTATGCAAATGCATCTACTTGCAAGCAAAACTGATTATGAGATGCCGCATGTGAAAATCAGCACTGTACCATAATTATAGTAACACTTACTCCCAAAGAGTCCAAGCTGTAATCTAACTAGTGACGGTAGTTTGATTCAACGACAAACTCCAGCACCGCAGCAATTCAGTCGACTTCCGCACCGCTCACGACTCAAGACAAGATCATGAAGATGCTACAATATGCACTGGAACTGAAAGGAAATCTTATGCCAAACATCCACGGAGGAATCTCCTTCTGACCTTGCTCGATCATTCTTTCAATTGACAACTGATAACCATCAGAAGATGTTCATGTACTGCATGATGTAGGAGATCTCCAAATAGGTTCGTTGTTCTGGAAATGCGTAGGGGTACCTGGCATAAGTAGGATATGACCCTCGTAGTCGGGTTATACCGTACCCTCATATAAATCCCTCCTGCTATCGCAGTCGGGATTTATATTCAGCCGGTATAACCCTCTGACTCGGGTTATATCCTCTACATATATGTGCCATATACTATGTTATCACTCTTCTATATCGACCTCCACTAATTCTCGTGATCCTTGACTGGTCCTATATCACCCGTATCGCCGCAATATCGACCGCTTATATCGACCGCTTGTATCGACCAATTAGGCATTGTTATCTTTCGACTTTGGAGGGACTTAGAATGTTTCTCTCCACTTCAAAAAGAAAAATTGAAAGAAAGAAGACAAAGGAAGAGAACAAGCAGGATTCGAACCCACAACAGTATGAATCTCAAGCAACCTCTTATACCACCCAGCCACTGTGCTGCAGATGCTGAGCTCTGTTGTTCTTACAGTCTTGTACCCAAAATAGGCAACATCCTATCCTATGTATAGTTCAAATGCTATACTAAAAAGGTTAAAATAGCTCCTAAAGGTTCAAATTTTGGGGTTATGGCAAAGGAATCGTGATAAATAGGATATTGACCTCGACTTCGGTCTATATGGGAAATATAGGCCTCGTAAAAGACCTCGGCGGACCTCGGTCTTTTACTCGGCCTATATTTCCCATATAGACCTCGTCTTGGTCAATATCCTATACGTATAATTATGGTATATGGTACTGTAAAAGCAGAAATTTTCGGTGGTGTAATATTTTCGGTATTATCCAAAGTCGGCGGTTCGGTAGAGGGAAATTTTCAGTAAAACCCGTTCTCCAGGGAAGTGTACTAGTACTACAGTAACCATGTGCCGGCTTTCAGCCAACCTGGAGACAAAGAAAAGAGCAGCGGGACAGGCCCCTCTCCTGATGACGATGGCTTCAGACTGGCAGCAGGCAAACACACCTTCTCCGCCACTATCCTATCAGGGCGCACTGAGCCACCTGCCTCTGCCTTGAACGACCCGCAAATTGCGTGGGCTAAGGAGTGTTCAAACCGTGAGCGCAAGAAGCTGGCAGAGAGAGTTGAAGCTGCCCGCAGAGGAAGCCATTAGTGCAATGAAGGTAATTACGGTTAATACTTACTGCACTTGCTCTTAATCCCCATGCTGATCCCTTTTTCCCTAGTAATGATAGATCATCAGAACACAATTTCTTTAGCTGTATCTTTTTTAAATGTTAATGGCGTCTCTTAATCCCTTAGCACCCAGCTTTTCCCCCTCCAAGTTAACTACTAGTGTACACAGTCAACATCTCTCCCCTGGGGCTGGCATCCCAGGTCCCAGTGCTCATGGCTCTTGTACCCAGAATAACCTTTCTGCCCCTGCTCACCGCATTGCCCCACTGACACAGTCCTTCATAAGACTGGGCTTTTTGAATGTAGTCTTCGAAACAAAGTAGCTGAGGTCGCCGATATCCTACAGCAATACAACTTCGACATATTTGGCGTCGCAGAAACCTGGCTTGACAGCACAACGTCAGACAGTGATATTGATATACCAGGTTACTGTGTGATACGGCACGATCGTCCAGTGCGCAGAGGTGGCGGTGTATGCTTTTATTTCCGTTCCGGACTCCAGGTAAAACCGCGCCCAGAGCTTTCCGACGC